GCATCCATATTCATCAGGGATATTGGCCTGTAGTTCTCTTTTTTTACTGGGTCTCTGTCTGGTTTAGGAATCAAAGTAATACTGGCTTCATAGAATGAGTCTGGAAGTTTTCCTTCCCTTTCTATTTCTTGGAATAGCTTGAGAAGGATAGGTATTATCTCTGCTTGAAACGTCTGGTAGAACTCCCCTGGGAAGCCATCTGGTCCTGGACTCTTATTTGTTGGGAGATTTTTGATAACCGATTCAATTTCTTCGCTGGTGATGGGTCTGTTCAAGCTTTCTATTTCCTCCTGATTGAGTTTTGGAAGAGTGTGGGTGTTCAGGAATTTGTCCATTTCTTCCAGGTTGTCCAATTTGTTGGCATATAATTTTTCATAGTATTCCCTGATAATTGTTTGTATCTCTGAGGGATTGGTTGTAATCATTCCATTTTCATTCATGATTTTATCTATTTGGGTCATCTCCCGTTTCTTTTTGAGAAGCCTGGCTAGAGGTTTGTCAATTTTGTTTATTTTTTCAAAAAACCAACTCTTGGTTTCGTTGATCTGCTCTACAGTTTTTTTTAGATTCTATATTGTTTATTTCTGCTCTGATCTTTATTATTTCTCTTCTTCTGCTGGGTTTAGGCTGCCTTTGCTGTTCTGCTTCTATTTCCTTTAGGTGTGCTGTTAGATTTTGTATTTGGGATTTTTCTTGTTTCTTGAGATAGGCCTGGATTGCAATGTATTTTCCTCTCAGGACTGCCTTCGCCGCGTCCCAGAGCGTTTGGATTGTTGTATTTTCATTTTCGTTTGTTTCCATATATTTTTTAATTTCTTCTCTAATTGCCTGGTTGACCCACTCATTCGTTAGTAGGGTGTTCTTTAACCTCCATGCTTTTGGAGGTTTTCCAGACTTTTTTCTGTGGTTGATCTCAAGCTTCATAGCATTGTGGTCTGAAAGTATGCATGGTATGATTTCAATTCTTGTAAACTTATGAAGGGCTGTTTTGTGACCCAGTATATGATCTATCTTGGAGAATGTTCCATGTGCACTCGAGAAGAAAGTATATTCTGTTGCTTTGGGATGCAGAGTTCTAAATATATCTGTCAAGTCCATCTGATCCAATGTCTCATTCAGGGCCCTTGTTTCTTTATTGACTGTGTGTCTAGATGATCTATCCATTTCTGTAAGTGGGGTGTTAAAAGTCCCCTGCAATTACCACATTCTTCTCTAAGGTTGCTTATGTTTATGAGTAATTGTTTTATATATTTGGGCGCTCCGGTATTCGGCGCATAGACATTTATAATTGTTAGCTCTTCCTGATGGATAGACCCTGTCACTATTATATAATGTCCTTCTTCATCTCTTGTTACAGCCTTTAATTTAAAGTCTAGTTTGTCTGATATAAGTATGGCTACTCCAGCTTTCATTTGGCTTCCAGTAGCATGATAAATAGTTCTCCATCCCCTCACTCTCAATCTAAAGGTGTCCTTAGGTCTAAAATGAGTCTCTTGTAGACAGCAAATAGATGGGTCTTGTTTTTTTTATCCATTCTGATACTCTATGTCTTTTGGTTGGCGCATTTAATCCATTTACATTCAGTGTTATTCTAGAAAGATATGGGTTTAGAGTCATTGTGATGTCTGTATGTTTTATGCTTGTAGTGATGATGTCTCTGGTACTTTGTCTCACAGGGTCCCCCTTAGGATCTCTTGTAGGGCTGGTTTAGTGGTGACAAATTCCTTCAGTTTTTGTTTGTTTGGGAAGATCTTTATCTCTCCTTCTATTCTAAATGACAGACTTGCTGGATAAAGGATTCTCGGCTGCATATTTTTTCTGTCTAGCACACTGAAAATCTCGTGCCAATTCTTTCTGGCCTGCTAAGTTTCAAAAGAGAGATCAGTCACGAGTCTTATAGGTCTCCCTTTATATGTGAGGGCACGTTTACCCCTTGCTGCTTTCAGAATTTTCTCTTTATCCTTGTATTTTGCCAGTTTCACTATGATACGTCGTGCAGAAGATCGATTCAAGTTCCGTCTGAAGGGAGTTCTCTGTGCCTCTTGGATTTCAATGCCTTTTTCCTTCCCCACTTCAGGGAAGTTCTCAGCTATTATTTCTTCAAGTACCCCTTCAGCACCTTTCCCTCTCTCTTCCTCCTCTGGGATACCAATTATGCGTATATTATTTCTTTTTAGTGTATCACTTAGTTCTCTAATTTTCCCCTCATACTCCTGGATTTTTTTATCTCTCTTTTTCTCAGCTTCCTCTTTTTCCATAACTTAATCTTCTAGTTCACCTATTCTCTCCTCTGCCTTTTCAATCTGAGCCGTGGTGGTTTCCATTTTGTTATGCATTTCGTTGAAAGCGTTTTTCAGCTCCTCGTGACTGTTCCTTAGTCCCTTGATCTCTGTAGCAAGAGATATTCTCTGCTGTCAGCTATACTGTTTTCAAGCCCAGCGATTAATTTTATGACTATTATTCTAAATTCACTTTCTGTTATATTATTTAAATCCTTTTTGATGAGCTCATTAGCTGTTGTTATTTCCTGGAGATTCTTCTGAGGGGAATTCTTCCGCTTGGTCATTTTGGATAGTCCCTGGCGTGGTGAGGACCTGCAGGGCACTTCCCCTGTGCTGTGGTGTATAACTGGAGTTGGTGGGCGGAGCCGCAGCCAGACCTGATGTCTGCCCCCAGCCCACCGCTGGGGCCACAGTCAGACTGGTGCGTGCCTTCTCTTCCCCTCTCCTAGGGGCGGGATTCACTGTGGGGTGGGGTGGCCTGTCTGGGCTACTTGCACACTGCCAGGCTTGTGATGCTGGGGATCTGGCGTCTTAGCTGGGGTGGGTAGGCAAGGTGCACAGGGGCAGGAGGGGCAGGCTTAGCTTGCTTCTCCTTAGGTGATCCACTTCAGGAGGGGCCCTGTGGCAGCAGGAGGGAGTCAGATCCGCTGCCGGGGGTTTGGCTCCGCAGAAGCGCAGAGTTGGGTGTTTGCGCAGAGCGAGCAAGTTCCCTGGCAGGAACTGGTTCTCTATGGGATTTTGGCTGGGGGATGGGCGGGGGAGATGGTGCTGGCGAGCGCCTTTGTTCCCCACCAAACTGAGCTCTGTCGTCAGGGGGCTCAGCAGCTCTCCTTCCCTTTGTCCTCCAGCCTTCCCGCTTTCTGAGCAGAGCTGTTAACTTATGACCTCCCAGACGCTAAGTCGCGCTTGCTGTCGGAACACAGTCCGTCAGGCCCCTCCGCTTTTTGCAAGCCAGACTCGGGGGCTCTGCTTGGCCGGTGAGCCGCCCCTCCGTCCGGCTCCCTCCCGCCAGTCCGTGGAGCGGGCACCGCCTCGCCGCCCTTCCTACCCTCTTCCGTGGGCCTCTCGTCTGCGCTTGGCTCCGGCGACTCCGTTCTGCTAATCCCCTGGTGGTTTTCTGGGTTATTTAGGCAGGTGTAGGTGGAATCTAAGTGATCAGCAGGACGCGTGGTGAGCACAGCGTCCTCCTACGCCGCCATCTTCCCTCTCTCTCCCACTATGTGAATTTTTGTACTTTCATCTTATAAGAGGCACTTTTATGTAATCAAAGGACAAGATAATACTTAATTTCTTCTCATAAAAATTTTTTTCATGTTAATTTTGAGAGAGATAGGAAGAGAGAGAGACACAGTGCACACGAACAGGGAAGGGGCAGAGATATTGAGAGGAGAGACTCTCAAACAGGTTGCGTGCTGTCAGCGCAGAGCCTGACACAGGGCTTGATCTTATGAACTGTGAGATCATGACCTGAGCTAAAATTAAGAATCAGAGGTTTAACCAGCTGAGTCACCCAGGTGCCCCTCTTCTCATTCTAGATTTTTTGCATTGCTAGAATTATTTCTTTATGTGTTTACATCTTATTACAGACTCTAGAAGATCCAAATCCATTTGGATTGCAAACTTCAGTTCATCACAATGTCACCACTTGTGATTCACTATTAAATAATAAGGAAAATTCACAATCATTGGAAAATAGGTCTGACCAGGACACTCTGTGCGTGTTGAGGACATCATCCAGACTGAAAGCAGGAAGAGATGCAAAGCACACAGATGACATGTATAAGATGTCAGAAAAGATTTTACAAAAGATACTTGTCTGTGAGGATCAAACAAATAAGAAGTCCTCAACTAAGAATTTCAGGTATGCTAGCAATTTTTTCTTTCTCTCTAGATATGCTATAGACTTTATAGATAAATCTATGATTGGAACATTAGCGTTACTGTACAGTTATCCCTAAGTGAAGAACTTTATTTTTTACTGTTGTTGCCTTATTTACTATACAGTTATTTTTTTATCCCAGAAAACTCTTCTACTTTTTTTTTTTTTAAAGGTAATGGGAGATTTGGTGTATTTCAGCCTAATGCTAATTTTCATTCTTTTTAAAAATAAGTTTAGTTAAAATGCATCACTACACAGTTATAAATTTTCTTGTCACAAGAACTTCTAAGAGTTACTCTTTCAACAACTTTCAAGTATACAGTACAGAATTGTTAACTACATTTACCATGCTGTACATTTCATTCTCAGTACTTATTTATCTTATAAATGGAAGTTTGTAGTTTTTGATCACCTTCACCCATTTCACCTACTATCCCGCCCCCTGGCCTCTGACAACCATCAGTCTGTTCTCTGTATCTATGAGTTTGGTTTTTTTTTTTTTTTTTTAGATTCCACATATAAGTGAGATCATACAGTGTTTGTCTTTCTCTGACTTATTTCACTTAGCATAATACCCTTTAGGTCCTTTCACATTGTCACAAATGGCAGGATTTCCTTTTCTATGGCTGAATAATATTCCATTGTGTGTGTATGTATGTGTGTATGTATTTGTATGTATATGTGTGTATGTATGTATGTGTATGTATGTATATATATGTATACACACACACTAATTTTCTTTTTTAAATTTTTTATTAATGTTCATTTATTTTCGAGGGAGAGCGAGACAGAGTGCAAATCGCAGAGAGACAGAGAGAGAGGGAGACAAGACTCTGAAGCAGGCTCCAGGCTCTGAGCTGTCAGCACAGAGCCTGATGTGGGGCTCAGATTCATGAACTGTGAGATCATGACCTCAGCCAAAGTTGAACTCTCAACTGACTGAGTCACTCAGGCACCACTGTATACCAAATTTCTTTATCCTTTCATCCATCGGTGGATACTTAAGTTGTTTCCATGCCTTGGCTATTGTAAATATTGCTGTCATGGCCTTGGAGGTGCAGATATCTTTTCAGGATAGTAATTTTATTTTCTTTGGATAAATATCCAGAAGTGGTGATGGTAGCCATTGTAAATAACACTTGTGAGGTAATATCTCGTTGTGGTTTTCATTTGCATTTTCATGCTATTAGTGATGTGGGTTACCTTTTTATGTACCGGTTAGCCATTTGGATGTCTTTTTTTAAAGTTTATTTATTTTGAGAGAGAGAGAGAGCAAGTGCATGGGAAGAGCAGAAAGAGAGGGAGAGAGAGAGAATCCCAAGCAAGCTCTGAGCTGTCAGCGCAGAGCCCAACATGGGGCTCGAACTTGCATACTGCAAGATCATGACCTGAGCAGAAATCAAGTCAGACACTTAATCAAGTGTCACGCAGGCCTGAGCCACACAGGTACCCCTGGATGTTGTCTTTAATAAAATGTCTTTTTAGTTCCTTTTCCATTTTTTAATTGGATTGTTATTTGGTATTGCATTATATGTGTTCTTTATGTATTTTGAATATTAACCCCTTATGAGATAAATGATATGCAAATATTTTCTCTCATTCAGTAGCTTGCCTTTTTATTTTGTTGATGGTTTCCTGTGCTGTGTAGAAGCTTTTAGTTTGAAGTAGCCCTCGTTTATTTTCCTTTTTTTGCCTTGGTTTTTGGTGCCAAATGCAAAAAATCATTGCCCAAACCAATGTCATGGTGCTTAACCTATGTGTTTTTTTCTAGGAGTTTTATGATTTCAGGTCTTACAATCCAGTCTTTTATCCATTTTGAGTTGATTTTTTGTATGGTGTAAGATTGTGGTCCATTCTCACTGTTTTGCATGTGGCTATCCAGTTTCAAAACATCATTTATTAAAAAGATTATCCTTTACCCATTGTTTATTTGTGGCTTCTTTGTTGTAAATTAATTGACCATATATATGTAGGTTTATTTCCAGGCTCTACTCTGTCCCATTGACCTGTGTGTCTATTTTTATGCCAGTAGTTTGCAGTTTTTGATCACTGCAATCCCATACGGCAAGTTCTTTTTTCTTGCAAAGAATCTGCCTCTTTTTCCCTAGAAGGTGAATAGATAGTAGCATGCCAGTTTGGGGAGTGAGGGGCAAGAGACTCAGAATACTTATAGATGACTTCTCATAAAGGAGAGAAGCCCATAAGAAATTCAGGTACAAAGAAAAGGCTAGAAATCACACTGACTGACATGCCTGTCACAGAATTATCTGCAATTTATTCAGAAGTCAGCTCCATATTTTAGTCTTTTTTTTTTTAAATGTTTATTTATTTCTGAGAGAGAGAGACACAGAGTGTGAGCAGAGGAGGGGAAGAGAGAGGGGGAGACACACAGTCTGAAGCAGGCTCCAGGTTCTGAGTTGTCAGCACAGAGCCCGATGCGTGGCTCAAACCCATGAACCTTGAGATCATGACCTGAACCAAAGTTGGACATTTAACCAACTGAGCTACTAGATGCCCTGCAATCTCCATATTTAAAACTGCCATGCTGCTTGACAGTAGCTCAGTAAAATACCTTTCAGTTTTCAAAATTTAGTCAACATTTGATATGATTCTCTGTGAATGGTTGTAGAGGACATGATAGTAATTTTAAAAACATATTTATTTTTCAAGAATGCAGGATCCTGCTTTAATGATTAAAGGTAAAAGGAAGAATATGTGTTCAGCCAGACTCAAGAGTGGAAAACAGATCAGGAAAAACACAAAACTTGCTGGAAAAAATGGTGAGGCATATTTGATTTCTTTGTAATTTTTTTAACTAAGTAACTTAGAAAAAAATAGAATTTTGGTACTGAAAAGGATTTAGAGATGATCTAGATTATCTGTCTCAACTTTCTCATTTTACTGATGAAGAAGTTGAGAAAGGTTAAGTATTTTTCCTGGTAGTGCACAGTTCATTAGTAGCATAACTAGGACTTGATCACGAACTTCTGGCCTATAGGCTGGCATTTTTTCTATACTTCTCCTTTGGAGAGAATAGTTACAGAACTCTTTTCAAATTTACATATGTGACCTATTTGTGATGTAACGAACGTAGCATAAGACTTTGAGAAATCATACCAAGAGGAATGAATAGAGAAAAGGAGAAGGCAAAATTATTGTTATTCTAAGATGTTATTTTTGTTCCTAAAAAAACCCCAAAGAATATCCTAACACACTATCAGAAACAATAAGAATCTAGAAATACTGTTTAAAATATAATAGGGGTACAGTTGAAAAATTAAAATACAAACTACAGGTTAAATAATAATATATCAATGTTAAATTTCCTGAATTTAATAATAATTTGGTTACTTAAGAGAATATTTTTGTTTTTAGGAAATAAACACTTAAGTATTAGTGACAAAAGGGTCATGGTGTATATAAGTTATTATTTATGTAAATGTCTGTGTACATGCATATGTTTATATAAAAAAAGCTAGAATGACATAAAGTAGTGGCAAAATGCTAACAATGGGTGAATCTTTTGTTTTGTTTTTGTAACTTTTTTGTAAGCCTGAAATTATTTCCAAATAAAACTTTTAAAATATTCATTTAACTAAAATAAGACAAAAATAAATGCCTTTCATATATATAAGTTACTCAGAAAATATAGGAGAAGGTCCCATTTGTAATAATTACACAGGAGAGAAAATACCTGCTTATGTAACTAATAAGAAATATACCTTACCTATAAAGAAGAGACTTTAAAAATTCTGCTAATATAAGAAAAAACTTGAATAAATAGAAAGAAGAACCTTACTCTTGACCGTAAGTATTCAGTGTCATAAGAAATTTATTTGTCCCTAAGTCTCTTTATAAATGCATGAGAGCTCAATCAAAAACATTGTTTATATGTCAATTGTTTTATTTTGTATTATTTTTTATAAGGCTGGAGATTAGCTCTAAGAATGTTATAAAATCATACTAAATATGAAAGACTAGCCTAGAATATTCTGAAAAATAAAAGCACAGGAAGAGTGGAGAGACTGGAACCTGCTGTAATTAATATGAAAGCAATTAGAAAGCCATAGAAATTGAAGTAATTTGGCACAGGAATAGACAGATAAATCAAGGAAACAGGTGAATTTAGATGTTAGAAGCCAGGTACAGTGTGAATATTGGGGAAGGTATGTGATAAAGCTGGCATCTCAAATTGGTGGCAAAAAGAAGGACTAAGTAATAAATAATGAAAACATTAATAAAATTTGATACCTATAACATTCCTTATGCTAAATTTAATTCCAGTTTGACCAAAGATTAAGTTAAAAATAAAAAGCTCTAGAAGAAAACATAAATGAATCTTTTTATAATCTTCAAGGAAAAGCACCTTTTCAAAGAATGACAAACTCAGAATCCAGGAGGGAAAAGAATGATAAAACTGACTACATACATTTTAAAAAATTGTATGAAAAACACCCTAAAGAAAACCAAACATCAAGCACAAAAGAAATATTACTAACACATAACAAGGAGTTAATTGCATTAACATGCAGAGAACTGTTAGAAAACAGTAAGGATAAAGACAAGTTGGTAGGCAACACGAACAAGCACTTCACAGAAAAAAAAATGTATATGTGTGTGTGTGTGTGTATATATACACACACACACACACATATACATATACATACATATATATGTGTGTATAACTATATACACTATGTATGTATCTGACACTAAGAGAAACATAATAGTGTACGTCTACCCCCAAAAGAAATCCTATATTCAGAAATCATAATCCAGAGGAGATGCAAAATATGGGCAAAGGCATTTTTAATCAGCAGCAAACCTAATTCATGCAGGGATATTTGATCCTAGGACACCCATCTTCTAATAGCTTTTGTTATTGCAAATAGTAGTAAACACATAAATAATGCAATATCAAGTGTCAACCTGAGACCATTCACTCTCTGGAAACAGGAGGCTTTGATGGACTCAACTATAAAGTAAGTAACACGGCACCTTGGATTTTGCATTACAATTTTGCTAAAAAAAAAACATAGTTTAGTATGAGTTAGATAGATAGATGTAGATAAATAACTGAAAAGATTAGCATCTTCCTTATGATTAAAGAAATGTAAATTAGAAGTATAGTTTTCACTTAACAGAATGTCAAATGTTTAAACATTTGAAAATTCCCAGTGGAAAGAATGTGGAAAAAGTAAGCATGCTCATATGTTTTTGGTTTGTTCAGTGTAAGGTTGTTCAGTCTTTTCACAGGGCAGTTTATTTATATTCATTAGACTTTTAAGTCATAATTCTTTTGAATCAGCAATTCTACTTAAGGGGATTTATTCTGTAGCTATACTTGCTTACATACATAAAGATATTTTTTTAAAGATGTTCATTACAGCTTTGTTTATCATAATGACTAGAAGTAGTCTAAACTAGGCAAATAGTTAATAAATTGTAATATAACCATTGAAGTAATATTCAGTCATTTAAGAAGTCAGAAGATAGGGCACCTGGGTGGCTCAGTCAGTTAAGCATCCGACTCTTGATTTCATCTCAGGTCATGATCTCACAAGGTTCGTGAGATGGAGCCCTGTGTCGGCCTTTGTGCTGAGCGTGGAGCCTGCTTGGGATTCTCTCACTCCCTCTCTGCTGCTCGCCCAGTTGCTTGTGCATGCTCGCTTGCTCTCTCTCTCTCTCTCTCTCTCTCTCTCTCAAAATAAATAAACTTTAAAAAAAATCAGAAGAATATATATATGTTGTTAAGAAACAAAAATGTGTGTTATGTACAGAAAAATAGAGATAAGGATAACACAATTTCTGGTTGGAAACAATGCAAGCAAGAAGACAGTGGAGTAGCAGTTTTAAAGCATTAAAATAATTTCTGTACCTAGAGTTCTATAACTAGAACATAAAATTCTATACCCAGCAAAATATATTTCAAAAATTAAGGTGAAATGAAGTTTCAGACACATAGAAGCTGAGAGAACTCAATACCAACAGACTCATACTGTATGAAATGCTAAAGGACATTCTCTAGGCAGAAGGGTGATACTAAATGGAAATCTGCGTCTACACAAAGGAATGAGGACCATTGGAAATGGTAACTGTATGGATAAAAATACAAGATTTTTTTCTTTTTTTTAACCAATTTTAAAGGATAGTTGACTGTTTAAACAAAAAAAACAACAATGGATTATGAGGTTTTTAACAGATATAAAAATAAGATGTGTGGTAATAATAACAAAGGCTATGAGGGGAGAAGTGGAAACGTACTATTGTAAAATGTATTTAAGGATATTACATTTGAAGGTAGACTTTGTTGGGTTATAGGTGTATACTATGGACACTGAATTGGTGGTGAGCAGAGCCTAGGGTGGCTGAGGCCTGTGGTGGGTGAGGACCTTGCCACAGATGGACAGCTTGTTTCTGTACAATGACTACCTAGTGGTTTTGCTGCCTTTCTGTGAGAATCCCCCAGTGTGTATTCCTCCTCATGAGAGGGTACACCCCCTAACTGCAACATTGAGTTGACTCAGTTTCTGCCCTGAATTGTCATAATGAAGAAGCCTCCTGGAGCTTTGTTGGGATTTAATATCTGAGGAGGAAAGATCTCCCAACTAGGCATTTTCATCTCTAAGGTGAGTCCTAACTTTGACGTACATTGAGTAGGACTTCAGGGAAGGGACCAAGTCCTGCCTGTGAATGATATGGATTTCCAAGATACTGAGTACATCTAGGCTGTTGGGATCCTGAAGACAGCCCACAAAATCAGCAAGAGGAGTATTCCCTACAGAGTTGCAGCCCACAGCCCTCCCCATGTAATCTTCTAGGATAAACTGATAGGCCTTAGGGAAACTACTCTCAACCCTACCCTGGCAGGGTGAAGTTGGTGAGATGGCAAAACAGTGAGACCCTCCACTGAGCCAGCTAGCCAACTATATCACACGAACTGTACTGTGCTTTTAGTTCCCTAGTTTTCTAGATGAGTTTCATTCCCTAAAGGAGAAGGATGATGATGTGTAGGTATGGCATAGCCTGTGGAGAATAGCGATAGAAAAAGTGACTGGCATTTATTGAATATCATGTGCGAGGCAATTACACATATGTCATATCATTTTCATTGGAGTATGGAAATCAGTACAAAAAAGAATCTTGGGGGCCCTCCGTCTAATTTACCTGGCCATCTTACCCCATCCTTCTACTATCAGTCTTATACACTTTGGCGCCTTTAGTGAGACCTTGTTTCTCCATCCTTTCCCTTCTTCTTCTCCCCACACCTCTGCCCAAAGTAAAATCCAATGCTGAGGCTTAAAAAATAAAATAAAAAAAAATAATGTATATTATAAACCCTAAAGGAACTCTTATAACAAGTTAGAGCTAATAAGCCAACAAAGAAGATAAAATGGAATAACAAAAAATAATTCAGTTTTAATCCAAAAAGAGTAGAAGAAGAGGGAACAGGGAAAAAAGGATAGGAAAAACTAAAAGCAAATAGCAAGATGATTACTCGTACCGAACCATATCAGCAATCACAGTAAATGTAAATAGTCAAACACTCCCAATTAAAAGACAGAGATCGTCAGATTGGATAAAAAAGCAGTACCCAACTACATGCTGACTTTAAGAAACAGACTTGAAATATAAAGACATAAATAGGTTAACACTAAAAGAATGGGCGGTGGGGGCGGACAGAATACTCAATTGTATTAGTTTCCTGTTATAACAATTTACCGCAAATGTAACTTAAAAACAACAGAAATTTATTTCCTTATAGATCTGAGGTCAGAAG